CTCTTCAAAAATGTCATGTCACAAAAGAAAACAAAACAAAAAAATGGCCCTGGCTGGTTGCTCAGTGGTTAGAGCATCAGCCAGCAGACCAAAGTCCTGGGTTCAGTTCCCGCTAAGGGCACGTACCTTGGTTGCAGTTTGTCCTCGGCCCCAGTTGGGGTTGTGTGGGTGGCAACCACTTGATGTGTCTCTCTCACATCCCCCCTCTTGCCCTCCCGTTCTATCTGAAGATAAATGCAAAAATGTCTTCAGCTGAGGATAAAAATAAGAGTAATAAAGTAAAAAAACAAAAAACAAAAAAAATGCTGGGGAGGGTAACTGTTCTAGATAAAAAGAGATTAAAGAGATACAACAATGAATGTAATGTGTGATCTTTGATTATACTCTGGATTTTAAAATATTAAAAAATGAAACAGTAAAACAATGGAACAATTTGAAGAAATTTTAACAAATTCAACATCTGCTAATACTGTTAGCAACATTAAATTTCTTGGGTGTGATGACAGTATCCTGATAATGTAGGAAAACGTCCTGGTACTTACTTTCAAATGGTTTAGAATTAAGTAGAAAAAAAGCAAATGACACAAAATATTTACAATTAGTCCTTTATGTGAAGGATACAGAGAAGTTCACCATACTGTTCTTTCAAATCCTTTGTAGGTTTCAAATTTAAAAAAAAAAAAAAAAAATCAGTGGATTGGATTAAACAGCAGCTTAGTCATAGCAAACAAGACAATCAGACTGGAACCAAGATCTAAAGAAATCACCCAAATGGTGACAGGAATTTAAAAAAAAGAATCACCCAGGCCCTGGCTAGTGTGGCTCAGTTAGTTGCAGCCTTTTCCTGTGCACTGAAGGGTCACAGTTTCGATTCCCAGTCAGTGCACATACCCAGGATGCATATTCGATCCTGGGTCAGAGTGTGTGTGAGAGGCAACCAATCAATTGATGTTTCTTCTCTCTCTCTCTCAAAATCAATGAAAACATATCCTCAGGTGAGAATTTAAAAAAAAATAAAGGAACCACCCAGAATGCTGCAAAGTAAAAAAGATAGAAAATATGAAAATGAGGTGAAAAGACGAAGACAAAAGAAGATCTAGCCCAGGATTTCCCAATCTTGGCACTACTGACATTTTGGGCTGCATAATTCCTTATTGTAGGAACTACCCTGTGCACACTATAGGATGTCTGGCAGCACGAATGGCTTCCACACACAGGATGAATGTAGCATTCCCCACCCAACTAAGTTGTGAGAACCAAAAATGTCTCTAGACATTGCCAAATGATCCTGGGGGAAGAGGGGTAAAAACTGCTCCAAGTTGAGAACCTTTGCAGTAAAACTTAGCACCAGCTGAATTTCCAGGAGATAATTAAGATAACAGGGAGAACAAATACTCCAAAAGTTTATATGGAACCAAAAAAGACTCCAAATAGCCACAGCAATCTTGAAAAAGGAGAACAAAGTAGGAGGGATTACAATACTGGATATCAGGTTATACTACAAAGACACTATAATCAACACAGCCTGGTACTGGCATAAGAACAGGCACATAGATCAATGGAATAGAACAGAGAACCCACAAATTGACCCAAGACATTATACTCAATTAATATTTAACAAAGGCATACAATGGAGTCAAGACAGTCTCTTCAATACATGGTGTTAGGAAAATTGGACAGCTACACACACAAAATGAAACTAGACCACCAACTTACATCATACACAATAAACTCAAATTAGATAAAAGACTTAAATGTAACTCATGAATCCATAAAAATCCTAAAAGAAACTGTAGGCAGCAAAATCTCAGATATCACACACAGTAGAATTTTCACTGATACAACACCTAGGGCAAGAGAAACAAAGGGAAAAAATTAATAAATGGGACTACATCAAACCAAAAAAGCTTCTGCACAGCAAAAGAAACAAGCATCAAAATGGAAAGGGAGCCCTGGCCGGTTTGGCTCAGCGGTTGGAGCATCCACCTGCGGTCCGGAGAGACCCGGGTTCGGTTCCCGCTAAGGGCATGCACCTCGGTTGCAGTTTGTCCCCGGCCCTGGTTGGTCGTGCGGGTGGCAGCCCACTCGATGTGTCCCTTTCACATCGATGTTTCCCTCTCTCTCTCTTCCTCTCTCCCTCCCACCCTGTCTGTACAAAAAATGGAAAAATGTCCTCGGATGAGGATAAAAAAATAAAAAAAAATGGAAACGGAACCCACACTACTGTAGAGCATAATTGCCAATGATATATTAGATAAGGGGTTAAGTTCCAAAATACATAGAGTGCTCATATAACTCAACAAAAGGAAGACAAAGGCCCCAATTAAAAAATGGGCAGAGCCCTGGCCAGTTAGGATCAGCGGTTAGAGCATCGGCCTGCGGTCCAGATCCCGCTAAGGGGGCGTACTTCAGTTGCAGTTTGTCCCCGGCCCTGGTTGGTCCTGTGGGTGGCAGCCACTCGATGTGTTCCTTTCACGTCGATATTTCTCTTTCTTTCTCTCTCTCTCTCTCTCTCTCTTCTCTCTCCCTCCCACTCCATCTGAACAAAAAATGGAAAAATGTCCTCAAGTGAGGAGTAAAAAAAAAAAAAAAAAAAAAAAATGGGCAGAGGACCGAAATAGGTATCTCTCCAAACAGGCCATACACATGGCCAAGAGACATATGAAAAGATGCTCAACAACACTAATCATCAGAGAGATGTAAATTAAAACGACTGTGAGGTATGATCATCTCACACCTGCCAAAATGGCTGCCATCAACAAATCATCCAACAAGTGCTGGCCCAGGATATGGAGAAAAGGGGACTCTAGTACATTGCTGGTGGGAATGCAAGCTGGTGCAGACTACGGAAAACAATATGGTATTTCCTCAAAAAATTAAAAATTGAACTGTCGTTGACCCAGTGATTCACTTCTAGGAATATATCCTAAGAAACCTGAAACACCAATCTGAAAAACTATATATACCCCTATGTTCATAGCAACACTATTTACAATACTAAGATCTGAAAACAGCCCAAGTGTCCATCAATAGATGAGTGAATAAAAAACCTGTGGTACATCTACATAATGGAATACTATGCAGCAGTAAGAAAGAAAGATCTCTTATCCTTTGAGATGACAAGGAGGGACCTGGAGACTATTATAAGCAAAATAAGCCAGTCAGAGAAAGACAAGTATCACAGGATCTCAGTTATTTGTGGAATATAATGAACAAAATAAGATGATAAACAAAACAGACCCAGAGACATAGAAGTAGGGATCAGACTGACAAACCCCAGGGGGAGATAAACCAATGGACATAGACAACAATACTGCGGGGCGGAAGGGGGGGGGGAGGAAGAGTGTCAATGGGGGAGAAAGGTGAAACATCTGTATAAAAATAAATTAATTTAAAAAATAAAATAAATAATAATAACTTAAAAAAAATAAAAGAGAGAGAACAGGGAAAACAATATCTGAAGAGATAAAGGCTAACAATTTACCAGAACTCATTGGAGACATAATATTCAGATTCAGAAAGCACAATTAATATTAAGCCCAAAAAATAAAAATAAATTCATTCTGATATATTATCAAACACAAAAATCAAAAATATCTCAAAAAATCCAGAAAGAAAAGCCAAATCTCAAAATTATGCTTCTCAAAAGCAAAAATAGAAGCTAACAGGTAGCAGATATCACTGAGAGAAATAGTACTGAGAGAAAATAGCTGTCAACTGAACTATATATCCAACATAACTACCTTTCAAAACAAGGGCAACATAATAAATACAAACCTGACTTTGCCACTAATAAACTTCTAGAAAGAACTTCTAAATGTACTTTAGGAAGAAGAAAAATGGAAAGTAAGGGTCTAAGATGTAAGAAGGAATAGTAAGCAAATAAATAAATGGTAAATACACTGGACAAGCTAATAGTGCTTGCAGAGAGGTAAAGAAAGCTCACATTTATATGGAACATTAAAGTTTGAAAACACTTTTTTACAAACATAGCACTTCTTCCTGTTATAACACACCAATATAAGATACATCACCAATTCAATTTATGATTTCAAATGATAATTAAAGTCATTATCTTACAACTGCCCAGTTTAATGACTACCTGAAATGGGCAGGGGCATGTGCTACTACTTCAGAAAGGTGAAGGGACCTTCCTCGGGTCTCACAGAAAGTCAGCACCAGCACTGGAATTTAAAGCTTATTTGTTTATAAAAACAATCCCAAGCTCCTACTCTATTGTACCAAGTGACCTTTCGAAGAAGTAAGTCTCAGACTGGGGACTCTGGAGCATTTCAAGTATCTAGCCAGTCCCCTCATGGATCCCAACAAGCCATACTGCCTCCTTTGCTGAAAGGCCCTTTGCTTCCCTGCAAAGCCAATCCTGTACCCACTCTGCAGGGCAAATGTCATGACTCAACCCTTTCAGCTTTACTACCCTTTAGTGCTGCCTCCTACTAAACTCCCAGTTGCATTTAAGATCAATACCATGCAGCTTAATGTTCAACTAAAGCATTCTGTGCTGTCATGGTGTCCTCTCTCTGCCCTGAAAGCTCCTTGAAGATAAAAATCATGTCTCCAATTCATATATTCTTTTTTCCCCCCATCTCTCACACAGCCAGAATAGTGCTGGGTAAAGTTAGCATTCAGAAAAATGCTTGCTTACTGGTTTTCTTCCCCCACTCAAGTAAGATGTCACTGTGAAACTTGTATGAAGCCCTAGGCAAACAGAAATGTATTTCCAAAGGAAAGGAGATGCAAAAGAAATACGAAACAAATTTCTAGAGACAATGAGACCTCTCCACAGACTTCATTCTCTCTTCTCTGGAGGTTGTACAAGATAATCTAGATTTTTAGAAACTCAATTGTATTATTGCACATTAGTTTTAAAAACATACATATAACCAATTCACCTATACAGAGACTAGTTAAGACAATTAATTTGGCTTAGACATTAAGATCATTCTCTTGGGTAGATTAAAAAAATGAGAGAAAATGAGTACCTTGCCAGTTCCAGGAGGTCCTGCCAACAAGACAGCTCTTCCAGCCATTTTCTTGCTTTTAATTAATTCTACTATCACACCACATGCCTGAACACAATAGAAATAATAAATCAGTATTAAAATGTTTCACAGGAGCCCTGGCCAGTTCAGCTCAGAGGTTAGAGCATCAGACTGCGGTCCAGAGAGACCCAGGTTCGGTTCCCGCTAAGGGCATGTACTTCGGTTGCAGTTTGTCCCCAGCCCTGGTTGGGTCGTGCGGGTGGCAGCCACTCAATGTGTCCCTTTCACATCGATGTTTCTCTCTCTCTCTTCCTCTCTCCCTCCCGCTCTGTCTGAAAAAATGGAAAAATGTCCTTGGGTGAGGATTAAAAAAAAAATGTTTCACAGGGGGAAAAATGTCATCTCTGGTCCAAACAATTCACATACTCATTCAACTAACACTGAGTGCCAATACACTGTAGGTAGTGTTCTAGCTGCTAGAGACAGTGAAGGGCAAGACAGAAAAGCCTTGTGCTCATGGAGCTCCTCCTATTCCAATGGTGGAGATATTCACAAAGACATTGTATACATTACTACCATGAAATAAAAAGGGTAATGACAGAGCAAGTGCCCGGGGCACAGGATACTCTACAAAGAGTGATCTGGGAAGGCTTCTCTGATGACAATATATTTGATATGGAAAGTTCTGGTCAGGGCAGGAGTTAGTTACATTCAAATTAAAAAAATACAGGAAGGAGTATGGCATGCCCAAGGGACAGAAAGGCTACAGTGACCAAAGTACAGTGAATAAGGAGAATGGGAAAATGAGATTGAAGAGACGGGCAGGGGCCAGATCTCTGAACAGAATTTTAGAGTCCACGTTAAAGTCTGGATTTTATTCTACTTGTAATGGGAAGCTACTAAAATGGTCTTAGGCTGTGTCACGTTACAATGACTTGTTTTTAAAAGATTTTGATGGGCCTAGCCAGTGTGGCTCAGTGGAATGAGGTATTGTCACATGGACTGAAAGGTCCTGGCTTGATTCCATCAGGGCACATGCAGACTCAATCCCCAGTAGGGAGCGTGCAGGAAGCAGCCAATTAATGTTTCTATCTCTCCCTTTCTCTCTAAAAAAATCAATAAAATAAATAAAAGATTTTGACAGCTACTGTGTGGAGAATAGACAGTAGGAGTACAAATGGAGCAGTGACTTTTAGCCTGGGGACCAGAAGTAGATTCCAGGAGCCCATACACTTCCTGATATTGAAAACACAATTACATGTACGTGTTCCCATGTAAATTTTTTAATCGATAGCTTTCATCAGATTCCCAAATTAACCCATTAAGGGTTAAGAATCAATGGCATACACTACTAGTTGGCTATCAGTTAACTATCCCAGGATGCTGCAAAACAAATGCTGCATGTGAGGTTAAACCTGCAGCATCATAAGATTCATTGAATGCCTTTCAAACCCTCAAGATCAAATTTCTTGCCCTGGCCGGTTTGGCTCAGCGGTTAGAGCGTCCGCCTGCGGTCCGGAGAGACCTGGGTTCGGTTCCCGCTAAGGGCATATACCTCGGTTGCAGTTTGTCCCCGGCCCTGGTTGGTCGTGCGGGTGGCAGCCACTCGATGTGTCCCTTTCACATCGATGTTTCCCTCTCTCTCTCTTCCTCTCTCTCCCTCCTCTATCTGTACAAAAAATGGAAAAATGTCCTCGGATGAGGATTAAAAAAAAAAAAATTTCTTGCCTTCGCTCTTCTCTCTGGGCAGTGATGACACTATACCCTATTGACAGGGTCTTATGAATACATCTTAACTCCTGCACCACTGTTCCCCATGGACTGTGGACAGTATCATGGCGTCACACTTAAGACAGCCCCTCAAAAACTGTGGATTCAAGGAATGCATGTAGATGTTCTATATTCCATTTCTGGTTCAGCTAAAAAAGCCCAGTGCTCTTAATAGAGCCTAGAAGCTATTTTTCAGATGCTGCATTTCTAAAGAGATAACAGAACCACTATAGTCTTTCCATAGAACTCTGTGATATAATCCTCAGCATTGAAAGTCTTTGGGAAACTCACCTAGACAAGTTTTGCTCAGTGGTTAGAGCGTCAGCCCACGGACCACAGTCCCAGGTTCGGCTGAGGGCATATACCTTGGTTACAGTTTGTCCCTGGCTCTGGTTGGCAACCACTCGATGTGTATCTCTCATGTCAATGTTTCTCTCTCTCGCTCTTCCTCCCTCTCTCCCTCCCGCTCTATCTGAAGATAAATGCAAAAATGTCCTCAGGTGAGGATAAAAAATTTTTTTATTTTTGAGTCTCCTTCGGGAGACTCAAAAGAGATAGAAGAGACTCCAAATCTTGGATATGTACTCTTATTCACACATTAGGGCCTCTTCCATTTAATCTTCCTCAGTTTAAGCTCCAAATTCTCTCCAGTGGTGTGTTCAGTGAATACTAAAATTTAAAAATTAAAAACTTTAAGAGCCTTCAAAAGATTTCCTAGCCAGCCCTGGCTGGTTTGGCTCAGCGGTTGGAGCATCGGCCTGCAGACCAGAGTCCCAGGTTCGGTTCCCACTAGTGGCACGTACCAAAAAAAATAAGTAAAAAATAATAATATCATCTGGTCTCTATCCTCAGAAAGCTCATAGTCGTACAGAGGTACACAGCATCAGAGATAAGAGCATGTATTCTAGATTCAATAGACTTGGGTTTAAATCCTGGCTCTACCACTACCAGCTGAGTGACCTTGGACCTACCTCTGTGAACCACAATTTCCTTATCTGACAACAGAGTTCATAATAGTGGCACACATGCTAAAGGATTTAAGGGTAAAGTGTACTATTGTCTGCAACTTACTTTGAAATGTAAAAGTGAACTGGTTGGTTGATAAATGGGCGGATATATAATAAAGCAACACAGTAAAATGTTAATTGTAGAATTTAGGCACACACGTATTCACTACACAAGTCTTACAACTTTTTGTATGTCTGAAAAGTGGGAGAGAGAACTATTGGTGTGGAGGTGACAGCAAGACAATGGAGATAAAGCTGCTTGGTACAGTGTTTGGCACACAGAAAGTGTTCAACCAATGTTAGCTATTTGCAGTAACTAGTTCTTAGTAAGCAAAAGCTGTGTAAAAATAAATTTAAAAGCCACCTTGACCACGTCAATATTGCCTTTTTGAAAACACAATGTTCAAAATGAAAGACAGAGGCTTTTCTTTGGCCCTTTCTATTAGTACAATTAGGCTAGGAGGAAAGCCTTAACCTCATATTGAGGTTTCTGTAGCTGCTAAACCACAGCAAGGTCAAAGGTCATGAATCTGACCTTAGAGCACAGCAAACTGACAGGTGGCTCTAATATCATAGACAGTACTAAACTGGGAGTCATAATTACACGTGGGTACAAATCCCAGCATTATCATTGCTAAAATGAGTGGCAAGTAGATAGGCGAAGTGACCGCTCCCATTTTAATCTGCAATAATAATAATACAAAGAGCTCAAATAGTTTTGTGATTATGCTGTAGGTGAAAGTACTTGGCATCCTTGCCACTTAAAAAAATGAACTGTAATGGAATGATCAAAAGGAAGCTGAGAGCCCTGGCCGGTCTGGCTCAGCAGCAGAGTGTTGGCTGCGAACCAGAGAGTCCCCGGTCCCATTCCAGCCAAGGGCATATACCTCAGTTGCAGTTCACCCCCACCCGGGTCGGGGTCCTGTGGGAGGCAACCAACTGATATGTCCCTCTTGCACTGATGTTTCTCTCTCTCTCTCCCACTCTATCTGAAGATAAAAATGGAAGAAAGTATCCTTGGGTGAGGATTTAAAAAAAAAAAAAAAAGGAAGCTGAGAGTTCGGTAAAACAGACTGATCCTCCCTGTAAATTCCCACTTCCCTCCTTCAGCTCCCAGGACCTGGGAATCAAAATGGGCTTTTTAAGGTTGATCACTCCCCTACCATGGCCTCCCACTGCATTCACAAAAACCCAAATTTCTTACCATGGCCAGCAAAGCCCCGCAGGAAGTGGCCCCCAACAAATTATAATTATTTTATATGTTCATCGTCTGTCTCTTACCATACTAAAACGTAAAGCTCCATGAGAGCAGGGACCTCATTTATCTTGTTCCCCGCTGGATCCCAGCGTTGTGAACAGAACATGGCACGGAGTGGGGAGCTCGCTCAAGATTTGTTGTCAAGGAGATGAAGCAAGCAGTTAACCTCTCCAGTGGGGTCGTCACCTGCTCTCCTGGTAACTGCCCCAATCCCAGTGAGGTGCCTCCTCGCCGCCTCCCATAGTCAATTTCACTGCCCTGAAGAAACTTAAGCGGGACACCCCAGCCCACACCCAGCTCTGAGACTTCACCTCAGAAGCTCCCAGCTAGTCACTGCGGCCCTGCTCAGCGCCCAAGCCCCAGGCCCGCGGGCCAGCCCCACCTCTCGCGCGTTCTCCTGGCCCACGAGCCCCGAGGCCGCCTGCTTGGCCAAGCCGCTCTCGTCCAACCCCAGCCCCTTCACGTGGCTGTGGGAGGCAATGCGCTGCGTCTTCGTCGTGCTCTTCACCTCCTCAATCTTCATCTTGCACACGTCGGAAGCCAAAATCTGCGTGGAACACCAAGAGCGATTAACACACGCCCGGGATCCGCGTTACCATGTGGCCGTCACTAGACGGTTTGCCAGGGCCCGCCTTGCTCGGCTCTCTATTGGTGGAGATTGGAAACGCCTCCGCACCCCATTGACTCATGGATGACTCCGCCCACCAACTTCCGGCTGTGTTCAGGAGTTAACATTCCCGTATTCCGCCTTTGGCCCGGGGCAGTGAAGGCTTTGGGGACGCAACACTAAGCGGCTGGCGGCGCCGAAAGTTTGATATGGGGCGGAGGCGCTGAGTCGTAATCGTGCGGCATTGGAATGTCATATCCTTCGGTGAAACTCAAGGTGTTACCTCCGTTTTGAAGATGGAGAAACAAGTTTAAAGCTTAAGCTTTGACTTTTGCTTACTCGGTTTTCTGACTCCTAAGCCTTTGTGTCTTCCTGGTAGCCAGTCACTCCTACCCTGGTACTGCTCCATGAAACTGGCTTCCTCTGCTTCTCCTGCTTCCGCCATCTCCTTTCATTTAAATTAAGTTAGTTGTAAATAACATTTTATGTTTCAAAAACTCTACAACCCTGTAAGTTAGTACAATTTCTAATACAGGTAAAGACGGGCTAAAGAAAAGTTTCAATTGTTGGCAGCTGCAGGAGCGCACCAGGTGTTAGAATGGTGGGGTCAGATGGGACCTTGGTTCAGCAACCTTGTACTTGAGTTCTGGCTAAGAAAGAATTTGGAACCAAGATTCAAAATGTAAGAGAACATTTATTTATTAAATCACGGAGATGGAAGAAGTAATCCATGGAAGAAATGAGCTTAGGAAACAAGTTATAGAGGCAAAGGACGAGAGAGCCCTTGGAACTTAGAAGTGAGGAAGGTAAAGGTGACTGGCCTAGGGAGATGGGAAGAAGAGAGGTGAGGGAAAAGCATGGGTGTGCTTCCTGGAGAGAGAGCAAGCTGGATCCTCTGTCCTAAGAGTTTTAAGAGTGGAGCCCTGGCTGGTTTGGTTCTGCAGTTAGAGCGTCGCTCCTGGACCAGAGAGTCCCAGGTTTGGTTCCGCTAAGGGCAGGTACTTTGGTTGCCGTTGTCCCAGCCCTGTTTGCAGTTTGTCCCCACCCTGGTTGGGGTCTTGTGGGTGGAGACCACTAGATGTATCTCTATCACATAGATGTTCCTCTCTTCCTCCCTCTCTCCTTCCCACTCTATCTGAAGATAAATGCAAAAATGTCCTCAGGTGAGGATTAAAAAAAAAAAAGACTAAGAGTTTTAAGAGTGGAGATTTTAGGGGAGGTTCCAAGGGAAGATCTCTATCGAAGATGCAGCAGCTTCCCAGGTGTGTCCTTTCAGGGTCAGGGTCTTCACTGATTGATTGGTCTAAGCCATCAAAGGGAATCATTATTCAATGCAGCTGGTGCTGAGGTCAGACATGGCATTGCTTGTCTAGTTTTGCTGCTTTTTGGGCCTGTAGCTGAAATACAATTGAGGCCTAGATGTTATCTCTAGGGATGAAAGATCAGGGGTCCAAACCACATAAGCCATATGCTAGGGGAGGGAAAATCACCCTGGGAATAGGGTCTCTTTTTACAGTTGTCCTTTGCTAGTCACCTGGGGCTTTCCAACCTGGTGACCTTCTGTACCTGGCATGTCATCCTTGCTCTGCTCATGTCTGTCTAACTGCCTACCACACAAGTAAGCTCATCTCAGCCACTTGGTTTTCAACCCTTTTTTCTCTCTGGACTTGACTTCTTTTGTACCTGACCTTTGAACCCACAAGCCAAGGTTAAGCCTAATTCTGCCTTCTCCATTGCCTCATGAAGGCTATTCTTTTTTTTTTTTTTTTTTTTAATGAAGGCTATTCTTACGTCAGCAGATAATTATTCAGTTGCCCCATGGAGCTGTTACACAGTTATGATCTCCAGCTTCAACTGAGCACTCAGAGCTGCCCAACTAATTTAAGTATTATACTAGTTTGGATATTAATTCAGCTGCAGTAACAGAAAGATACAAAATAATAGTGAACTAAACAAGAAGATTTTACTTTTTCTTACATAAAATCTAAGTAGGCATTTCACCTGGTGAGCTCTATAATTTATAAGAACTTGTTTCTCTCTGTCTTGTTACTTTGCCATTCTCCACATGTATCTTCTGTCTCATGGTCCAAGATGGCTGCTTGAACTTCCCTTAAAAGGCTATGTTTGAACAAGCAGGAAGGATAAAAGGGGGAAGGGAATGTATACTACTTCTCTTTAATCTTGACCTCAAGTTGCACCATCATTTCAACTTATGACCCAATGGTCATACTTAATCAAATGGCTGCAAGAGAATAGGGGAAATGTAGTCTTTAGCTGGAAAGATTGGTGCTCCACTGAAAATTTTATTCCTGTTTAAAAAGGGGAGTAGATTGGGAAACAACTCTTACTCACCACCCTAAGCTTCTATCTGCCAAGCACTACTGGGTTATTCTTGTATCCTGATTTAAAGATAGTCATGACCTTCCTCCTCGTCAAGGTAACCCTATTAACTGGGTTTCAGATAGCAATCTGGGTCCCACCCCATCTCTTAGAGGCCTCACTCTACCCATTACCTTCCTTTTAGTGTATTTCCATCTATTCTCCCTGATAATTTCCCACAGTATATAAACATGCTTAATCTTTTCCATCTTAGAACACACATTATATTCAATGATGAAAGACTGAATTTTTTTTCCCTTAAGAGCAGAAATGAGACAAGGATGCCTGCTTTTGCCACTACTATTTCACATAGTATTGGAAGTTCTAGCCAGAGCAATTAGGCAAGAAAAAAATAAAATTAGAAGCACCCAAATTGGAAAGCAAGGCGTCAAACTAGCTCTATTTTTAAATAGCATAATTTAATATATAGAAAAATCTAAAAAATACACACACACACAAAAATCAGGGCTAATAAATTCAGCTAAGTTTCAGAATACAAAATCAACACGAAAATCAGGATATAAACATAATATTTTCCATTTTAAAACACACTGATGGTTTTGGCAGAAATAGACAAACTCATCCTCAAATTCATGTGAAAGTTCAAGGTACACCAAATAGCCAAACAATCTTGTAAAAGAAAAACAAACTTAAAAGTCCCTAACTTCCGGATTTCAAAACTTACTACAGCCCTGGCCTGTTTGGCTCAGCGGTTAGAGCGTCGGCCTGCAGTCCGGAGAGACCCGGGTTCGGTTCCCGCTAAGGGCACGTACCTTGGTTGCAGTTTGTCCCCAGCCCTGGTTGGGTCGTGTGGGTGGCAACCACTCGATGTGTCGCTTTCACGTCGATGTTTCTCTCTCTCTCTCTCTCCCACTCACTCTATCTGAACAAAATATCGAAAAATGTCCTCGGGTGAGGATAAAAAATAATAATAATAAAAAAAAACTTACTACAAATCTACAATGATTAAAACAGTGTAGTATTAGCATAAGTGTAGATATACAGACCAAGGGAATGGAATAGAGAACCCAGAAATAAACCTTCACATACGTGACCGAGGGTGCCAAGACCATTCAATGGGGGAAAGGACAGTCTCTTCAACAAATGGTCTGGGAAAACTGGATATTCATATGCAAAAGAAAGAAGTTGGACCTTTATCTTGTACAATATACAAAATATAACTCAAATGGATCAAAAACCTGCATTTTCTCTTAGGAGAAAACATAGGGGTAAATCTTCATAAGTGGATTTGGCAATTGTTTCTTAAATATGGCACCAAAGGCATTGGCAACAAAAGAAAAAACACATTAAGTTGTACTTCATCAAAATTAAAAACTTTTGCACGTCAAAAAACACTGAAGAGAATGTAAAGACAACCCACAGAATGAGAGAAAATATTTGCAAATCATATATCTAATGAGGGTTTAATATCTAGGATATATAAGAACTCCACTTAAAAAAAAAAAAGAGCAACCCAATTAAAAAATGAGCAAAGGACTTGATAGACATTTCTCCAAAGATATGTCAATGACCAATAAGTACATTAAAAGATGCTCAACATCATTGATCTTAGAGAAATGCAAATCGCCCTGGCCGGTTTGGCTCAGCGGTTGGAGCGTCGGCCTGCGGTACAGAGAAATGCAAATCAAAATCACAATGAGATACTACTTCATACCTACTCACAGGGCTATAATATAAAAAGAAAATAATAAATAATGACAAGTATGTGGAGATATTGGAACACTTGGGCAGTGTTCGTGGCGATATATAATAGTGTCGTTGCTATGGAAAACAAATTGTTGGTTCCTCAATAAGTTAAACACAGATTTACCATATAACGCAGCAATTTTACTCCTAGGTATATCCTCCAAAGAACTAAAAACAGAAACTCAGAGATGTGTATACCAATGTTCATAGCAGTATTATTCACAGTAGCCATGATATTATAATTTATAATAAGAAATATATATTTGGTCTTTATCTTTGTTTCTGGCATTAAGTTCCTAAAACCCTTGGAATTTCTTAAGGGATGAGAGCTGTAAATGTATTGTTGTCATCATAATTAGCTAGTTATTAATATTAATAATAGAGAAAAAACAAAGGGGAGGCTAGACATTATAATTATGGTCATCTGGGCAGCTTCTCCAGAATGTTACAACTTTGTGCTCCCCAGGGAACCACTGGTCCATTCTGCAGATCACTGGGGGACAGGATTGAACAAAGTGGGAGATGGATGCTTGCACAGCGAAGTCCAGGTGACATAGGGAAGGTGCTTGCCTGTCAGTTTAACCTGGGATAAAGATCATTGGCTATGGGGGTAGAGCTACTGCAAGTGCGCAAAATCTTGAAGGGGTAATTGGTTAAGCTCCTAGTTATAATCCCAAGACAAAGAATTCTCTCTCGTTTTTCTGTTGCTTCACTCTTGCCTGCTTTCTCCTCTCTTGCTCTGTGACCTACATTTACCCTTCCTCTAGTTATAGCCATGTGGCCTTAAGCAGCTATATGGCCCAGGGCTATGTGGACTTCATGTGCAAGATGCTGGACTGGACTGTGCTTTAATATAGAACAGAGACTCTGGGCAGTGGCCTTAATTTTGCCCTGCTGAAGACAAGATTAAACTTTTTC